CACTTTAGTTGTAAAACTCAACATATTTTAACAAATCAATTGGCCAGATTGAAAGTAAATTAAGATCGAAGTGAAAAGATTATCACAACTTCTTTAACATTTTCATGGCTCAACAAATTCACTCACCAATTCAAATCACCATTTCACAAATCTCAAGACAATGAGAAAGACAGAGAAAAGTACTCAGAACTCATGGTGAAGGCACAACAAAACTCGAAATTTATATATAAAAGCAAAGTCATACAAACTACAACAAGTAAATAACACTTATCTATAATTTCTCCCCAAGCAAACTCCTCGAAATTCCTCTGAATCTTTTCCTTTCTTTACAGCACACAGAATTCTTCTTCGAAGCGACAAGTAGAAAAAAATCTCCCACTTTCCCTCCACTCTTACAATCTCTCGAAGAATTACTCACAATCTAACCCTAAATTAGACTCTCTACACACTACTGGAACTCTTGGACGCTGTTCGAATCTTCGAACTCCCCTCAATTTTCGACCAAAATCTTCTTTTAAAGTTGTAGAAGAGTTTTTCCAAGAGTTGCCTAAGCATCCATCAAAAAATCGTCCACATTCAATGCACTTGTTGAGATAACTGTCGATCTCGTCGTTGGTGGCCTCGAGGGAGCCGTCGGCGGACCTTCTAAAATAATTGGTTGGAGTCTCAGGAAAATCAGGAAAAGCTCATCATCGGCGTCGTTGGGCTCGCCGTCGGTGCCCTAGTTCAATTCTTCATATTTTGGTTCTTTTCACTCCAAATTCGCTCTTTTTTGTATCTTTTTTTCCAATGATCATAATTCATCCTACCTGCAACAAAACATCAAAAATACCCTTCTTTAAAGTGCAATAGCATCAAAAACAGTGTAAAATATGTATGAAAATCTCAACATATTTTTCCTTTGGTCAGCAACGCACTCGCTACACCATATACGAAGTTGATACATTTTTGGCCCGATTGCCGGCAAAATTGTCTGGACAATCTCGGATGACAAAACGGACCGTGCCGACGCGTCTGGAACGTCAATTTTAGCCAGGAAGTACACCCATATTGCTAGGGTTACTCGCGAGCATAAATGGCACGAAAATCGATGTGTGTTTTTTTAGTGTGACGCGGGCCCGGGCTCAACCCAGGTTTGACTCGGGCTCGATTCGGGCTGATCACCATCTCACAGAATTTCAAATTTTGAATTTCAAAATTTAAACAGAATATTTAAATCTCGTATTAATTGAAAATAATCATGTGCTATTATTTTCCAATTGAGTCGCATACACCAAAGGGAAGTATTCAATTCCCCACCAAAGCTTTCACGTAACGGCTCCCTTGAATTTTCGTCTATACAATTCAGACTCCCCTGCTCGCCTGGGCTCCGCTCGACAGAACTCTCTCCCATTAGCTCCTTCCTCCTGCTCTCTGCTCAATCACGCCTCCCTGCACCAAAAAAAAAACTCGTCTGCTCGATCCCGCCTCCTGCGTCAAATCCCCCGCTCTTCTTCTCCCGCTCCCCTCTTCCTCGTGACCGAAATCCCCTTGCCTCTTCCTCACTCAAAAGAAACCTCGCCTTTTCCTCGCTCGAGAGAAACCCTCGCTCCTCTCTGCGAACGTCGAAGCCCTCGCCTCCTTCCTCTACGCCAAAACTGAAACTTGCTTCCACTCCCCCCGCATTCGACGCCTGCTTTCCTCCCCTGACCGAAGACCCCTGTTCGGCTTCTTCCGCTCAAGTCTGCCTCACTGCACCGAAGCCCTAGCCTTCTCACCTCCACAGAAAGCTCTCAGTTCACCTCTTCCTCATTCCTCAAAGCCCGAGGTCATCGTCTTCCCGGAAGCTTCATCACGTTCGAAATGTACCAAAATAATTTTGGAGGCATCAGATACTTTGGTTTTCAAAGGCTTACCTTTGGGCCAATTCAGGTATTTTGAATATGCATATTCATTTCACATTTCCCTCATCTCCAGTGACCGTTTATTCTAATTAAACTGCTTAGACGACATGAACTAAAGTTGCAGGTGGTTTTCATTTTTATTTTCTAAATGGAAATTGATAGGTTATATATTGCACAAGTCTTTGAACTATAAGACAAATTGCCTGATCTGATTTCCATTTTTTGTGTAAACACTAGATTAAATCAACTAAATCATTGTTATTTCAAATCATTTTGTAGACACATTTTTTATTGGCAATCCTTAATATGCAAATCCTTTCTATTGCCTTTTTCTTTATTTCGAATATGTACTATCATATGAATTTACAGTTAAATTTATTTTGCTTCATCTGTTGATCAACAATTCCATTACTAGGAGGATATTCAAATCACTTAAAATGGTCTTATACCTGCATAAACACATCATGCCCTAACATGCATTAGAAGAAACGATTTCTCCCAATTTTCTTTACTTGACGAGCATTTATGTGTATTGATTCCTTATGTTCAAGCATCACAGGTTAAACATTGATATCGTGGATTATAAAATAACTTTTACTTGACTCACCTGCAGCTAATTTTGAGGGCATTTACATACATGGTACACAATTCTGTTGTATTTATATATCTCACCTAAGCTTTCATTGTTACATAGCACTCAAATCTTTAATTTCATATCGAAAATAGCTTTTTTTCTTCTTTGTCAAAAGTGAAATCCACTTTCTCATGCATAGATTTCTAGCACCAAACCGTTATAATTATAAATACAAGGTTTATGTGTAAGATATGCGAGTACATCTGAATTGAGTGACAAGTATGTAAACGTCCCAATATTAGTGGGTGTGCGGGTTCAAATTTCCGATTCAATACTATCATAAGTCTTTTTTTTAGCACGGTATGCATGTGATTATTTTCTTGCTTTTAAAAGTGTTGTTTATTGTTAATTAAATGATGTTGGGAGTCATTGAGAGCTATAGGTTGCTTAAAATTAATGTTTGGGTGTTGTAAGGAACTGGGAATTAATGTTTAGGTGTTGTCAAGTGCTGTAAATTACTATTTGGAGGTGTTAAAAATGCTGTGAGAGCTTTTAGAGTGCTATGAAATCTTTTGGAGAGCTGTGAGAATTATTGAATTTCTTGGGTGCTGAGAGCTGTGAGAATTATTTGGGTGCTGAAATTGTGGTTTGGGCTGTTGTAGGTAGCTTACAAGTGCTGTAAATTGTTATTTGGAGGTGTTAAAAATGTTGTGAGAGCTCTTAGAGTGCTGCGAGACCTTTTGGAGAGCTGTGAGAATTGCTTGGGTGCTGA